ACGCACCTGGGTTAATATGCCGGTTAAAGTCTTGATTCTAATCTGACTCCTTCGAGAATGTCTGGAAATGTTTAATTTTCAATTGATTACCAGTATAATGACTGGAAAAAGTATATGTTCAGCTTTTTTGTAAATGGTGCTAGATATTTCGACTTTGTTACTTACGTTTTTTTGAGCGACGTCATAAAGGTTATTTTAGAGTATATGGCTGGTGATAAGCATAGTTACAACAGTTTCTGGTAATGTAGATAATTGAGGAAGGGTACCAGGAAACAAGATTAGGAGTGTTATCCGGAGATAAAGGTTTGGGATATAAACCTGTATTTCCCAAGTTATTGGTGTAGAAGGCAAGGTAGTCAAGATTGGTGAATTAAAGTGAGTGTAAGTCGGAGGGTGAATATTTCAAACACGGAGGAAATCTCAGAGCTAAATCACAATGATTGTGGATACTGGCGCACTAAGAGATACGGGTGAAAGACTTTTTAGGAGGTAGGCGAGTCATTTAGTTAAAACATGTGTTGGACGAGAGCCAGGTCCACGGGGAAAATATGCAAGCCTTCACCACGTGTTTGTGACGCGGCTAAAACTCCTTACCTCACGTGTCACTGAAGTAGACTAGAAGCTGTCTGGTGGGATGAGAAGTGGTTCAACAAGTTTTTGTTCTGTAGCTACAAGATTTTTGTAATAATTTTGTATAAAACTAGGTTTCTCCAGTCTTTTTCATTATTTTCGACAAATAGAACCAGCTTATTTTTAAAGTATAAATTCACTTATTTAGGCAATTCGTATTACACTGTATAACAATAAATGTAATTATATACAAAAAAAATCATAGGTCTTTAGTGGCATGATTTAGCCAAAGATCTCTCGGTAACATTCTGGGTAAATTCCTGATGTATTAAATTGTCTTAGTGTGACTTTTTTTTAATAAGGTAACCCTTTAAGGAAGGTGTCAAAATCCGGCCAATGAACACTGTATAGGTAATATTGAATTTTTGTCTTGTTAAAGCTTTGGGTGTGAAAAACACTTCCTGACGTAAAGGTATCTTGCCTTAGCTAACGGCTGTAGTGTTAAAATTTCTCTACAGTAATTTGGGGTTCTAGCTGGTATAAAACAAACTTCCGTATTATTGGATATTGACAAAAATCGTCATTTATTTATGCTCGGACATTCCTCCACAAGCAACTGTGCTCTGTGCTTAAGTACGATGTTCGTTACAGAAATAATCTTGACATTACAAATATGAAAATCATTTCAGTGGGATGACGCGAACTTGATACAATTTCGAAATGTCTGTAAATATACAGAGTCCAGTCGTGTGCAGTTTCAGAAATAATGTGAAAGGACTTGTGATTAAGAATCGGCACCATGTCTACTTATGAAATAATGTGATAAAATATGTGGTGACATCGCTCATTAAAGACATTACAGGGATTTACGAAATATATCATCATGAACTTCTTGAGGAATCTTATTCAGGTAAATAGTGATTTGCATTTATATTTTCCATTTAGCGCCTCAACCATTTTGCAGTATTTATTAGGCTTACCTGAAAATTGTCTCCCCTTCTAAGTATATTAATATGCAAATATTTGATAAGTTATTTCTTATTTTTTTTTCATTTAAACTGACTTACCAGTGTGGCCTAAGCTTGTTAAAAATTTACGTAACAAATTATTTGCATAACTTTAGTTTTCCATTATTAATTATTATTGTTGGTAGGACGATCTTTCAGGTGACCTGTTATTTTTAGTTTTCCACGGGAGGACGACTCTTTGGGTGACTTATTTTTTGACATTTATTAAATACTGTATATATTAATATATTCATTTTTTTTTTCATTTTCTCCTCCTCTCTTTTCTTCCCGCTCTCCCTCATTGATCTCCTCTTCCATATTCTCCTCATTCTCTTCCTCCCGCATTATATTCCTCGTACTCTTTCTTTTCCCCCCTCCCCCCTTGTTCTCTCCCTTTTCATTCTCTTCCTCATCCCCCATCTCTCATTCCTTCTTTGTATAATAGTTCAGGCAATATAAACGTTTTCTGGTTACTGTTATAGCTACCGTTTTCTGTCAGTCTATTGTAAACATATCAGAGTTGGACTGTGCAGATTGCGTCAGTACAACTTTTTATGAGCACCTTCAGCGTTGTTCTTGGTGGAGTAAGGTTAAGTAAGGACGTCTGGCTCTACCTCTGCCTTAAGCAACTGTGACGAATTTTCTTGTTTTCTCCCCGGGAAGCTTGTCTTCATGATGCCCGTAGGGAATGATGAGGACAAGAAGAAACTGTATTGAACATTACATATCTCTGCTGTGAAAGCAGTGTTAATTAAACACTGAATTCAGTGTATGTAAATGACACTGAGTCACAGTGGTGTGTGTGTGTGTGTGTGTGTGTGTGTGTGTGTACTCACCTATTTGTACTCACCTATTTGTGGTTGCAGGGGTCGAGTCCTAGCTCCTGGCCCCGCCTCTTCACCGGTTGCTACTAGGCCCTCTCTCTCCCCGCTCCATGAGCTTTATCAAACCTCGTCTTAAAACTGTGTATGGTTCCTGCCTCCACTACGTCATTTTCTAGGCTATTCCACTGCCTTACAACTCTATGACTGAAGAAATACTTCCTACTATCTCTCTGACTCATTTGTGTCTTCAACTTCCAATTGTGGCCTCTTGTTTCTGTGTCCCCTCCCTGGAACATCCTGTCTTTGTCCACCTTGTCTATTCCACGCAGTATTTTATATGTCGTTATCATGTCTCCCCTGACCCTCCTGTCCTCCAGTGTCGTCAGGCCGATTTCCCTTAATCTTTCTTCATAGGACATTCCCCTTAGCTCTGGAACTAACCTTGTCGCAAACCTTTGTACTTTCTCTAGTTTCTTGACGTGCTTTATCAAGTGCGGGTTCCAAACAGGTGCTGCATACTCCAGTATGGGCCTGACATACACGGTGTACAGTGTCTTGAATGATTCCTTACTAAGGTATCGGAATGCTGTTCTCGGGTTTTTGCCAGGCGCCCATATGCTGCAGCAGTTATCTGATTGATGTGTGCTTCCGGAGACATGCTCGGTGTTATACTCACCCCAAGATCTTTCTCCTTGAGTGAGGTTTGCAGTCTTTGGCCACCTAGCCTATACTCTGTCTGTGGTCTTCTGTGCCCTTCCCCTATCTTCATGACTTTGCATTTGGCAGGATTAAATTCGAGAAGCCATTTGCTGGACCAGGTGTCCAGTCTGTCCAGGTCTGTGTGTGTGTGTGTGTGTGTGTGTGTGTGTGTGTGTGTGTGTGTGTGTGTGTGTGTTTGTGTTTCAAGAAACTAAGTAACCTCGGGTTTCAGCGAGTTGTGTGGCCTCTGACCTCAGAGTGTGAGAACAACTCCATCAATCCTCGGGTTGCCTGGCTTGGTTGTACACTTATTGCCTGTGTGTTGGGAGAGGGTAGGAATTATGGCTGCCTTGTAGGAAAATCGCATGTTTTCGTAAAAAAAAAATCCCCGTTTATAAAAAATATTACATCCATGGGTGCAGTAAACCTGTAGGATCCATATAGTTCCTAGGGGAAATGGGAAGCAATCAGGTTCGATGGAAGGAAGGAAGCACAGGTCCAATTTAGATAGAGCGCCTCTTGCTGGCATCAAGGAACCTCCCTTGAGGGGTTGTCAAACATAAATAGTATTTATGGCTGTGTAACTCAGATATAATTAAACATCTGAAGGACCTGGGCCTTTCAAGGGTGGTGCATTGATGCTGGTGAGGGGCTCTTGATCCAAGGAATTAACCTATTCTCCCCTTCCTTGGATCAACTCTGATTGCCTTCCTTTCTCAAGGTGCTGCATAACTCCTATGGGTTTAGCACTCTTCCATGACTAATGAACAACCTGGGATCAGTCTCAGAGGGACATGACCTCGCAATGAGCACATTCTTTCTTCTACTAGTGGCCTGTATCTCACCTCCTGTCAGTATATAAGGCTCCATACTGTCACTTCAACTTCACATTGTTTCAGACTATAGACAAATGCTCTTCTTCAGGCTTAGGGACTGACCAACTCAAAACTGTCTTCAAGGGTGGACTGATTACATTGTCTTTTCATCTCTTCTGCTTTTACCAACTTTTCTGTACTCGACTGAAGAAGTCAACTGTGTAGATGAAACATTTCGAAATAAAGATACCTAACTGTTGCACATGTCTTTCCTAACAACCTGTTAGTATTTTATACCATTTTAATATTCAGTCTCAGCACAGGTTGAAATGCTGGGCATGTTTCCTTACACCTGAGTATTAGCTGACTGTTGTAGTTCATAGCCTGAGGAAGATCATTAAAGGACCCTAATGGAATTAATTGATTGACTTTCTCAGGTAATTCTTAGTACAAATTGTCGGTTGGTGGGTAGCAACCATCCTGTCAAATAGAAACTGTTAATTATTTATTTATTTATTTTTTTGCACTGGCAGGATTGCTGATCTTTCTGTTGCATGCACGTCAAGATGATGGTAAATCCTCAAACTTATACTTACTACTGAAGTAGTAACGTTTTTACTTCCCTCTGTGCTTCTTGATAGCTCATCACCCTGAAATATTTCCTTTTCAACCTAGAAGGCCAGATCTTAGACAGGGTCATTGGGGATGATAATCCCCAGATCCACTAATAGATACATACTAAACTTTTGGGTTAATAATCCAAATAAGATCTTCATCTGTTATGAATGTGACATACTGTATTATTTTTTAGTACCTGTTGTAAAATTTCTTAATAACGGTACTACCTGAGTACATAGAGCAATAACATGACATCTTTACTTGGTTATTATTGGAGGGATTATTACTATTTCAAGTCCTTAACATTGGGGTAAAAAATTTTTTCAGTCTTAATTCTGTAGGAATCTTAAGTACGTACTAAGAAAAAAAATATGAAGCACTAATTACAGAACTGCATGAAGTTTGTGGTTTTATTCTTTTAAAAATAGTTTGTGGGTATTTATACTAAAATAGTGATTTTATTGCAGGGTAACCAGTCCGGCAATAAAGCAGACGCTGGACAAAAGAAAAAGGTTGGAGACCATGGAAGCGCTGTAATGGTTTTTGACAATTAATTTGTTGTGTGCTTTAACCAAAACAGCAGCTAATAGGCTTATTCACTGTGTTTATATACAGTGTGTGTATACATGTCATGCTTAATAAGCTTAAGCTAGTCAAACAAGCTTAATTGCCTTAAAAGTAAATTCTTTCCAAAATATATTCATTGATAGATATATTCATGTGAATTATTATGCGCAGAACTTTTATTTTGCTCCCAAACTATCTTAACAGGTTAATCTCATATATGTGTATCTTAATTCTTCCCAGCTTATCTAAGGGTCAGCCTTTTAGTCAGTATTATTAAAATCTGTGACATATATTCAGACTGGCTTTTGCAGAAGGGTTGCAACATTTCATTTTTTCACAAGGCTTGTTTGACAAAATTATGCTTGCCCAATAAGCCAAGTCATCAAGTTCTGCTTTAAAAGAAAGACATACTATATTACTGTATATATTTGTAATCGTAATGACACGATTGCAAATAAACCATACCCCCGGCCAGGATTGAGAGTTTTGAGACTATCTGACCGCGGGTTCAATCCCGGCCGGGGGTATGGTTTATTTGTAATATTTTTTAATCTTGTTAATTAATATGCTCAATACTGGTGTGAACTCTGATTTTTGTATTTACAGTACAAACATTGTAATAAAAATTTGGCTTGACAAATTGGCTGCTGTTTTATGATTTTAAAGCTTAACTAGTATGTGTAAATAATTTACTGATTATAGTAATTTATCACTTTTCAGCATGCACCTAATTTGACGCTGGTTTATAAACTGATACAGCTTGATCGTCATCTCTTCCTGTTTACTATATCTAAATAGTGTTGCTTGTTTGTTTTACCAGTTTGAATTTGTTTTCTTCTTAAAGTTTTATGCCTGATTTATTTAAATAATCTCAATTTGCTTGCAGCATAAATATTTACACATTGAAAATAATTTGAATAAATGCTTTTTGTGTGTGCATTTTTATGTAAGTTTATTTTTTATTTACTATTGGAATGTGTTTAATATTACTGTATTTATCATACAGTTCTGTTCATTATGTATAAACTGGACAGTTAACACTCTAAGAACAGTTCCTGTAACATGCATGCATTGTGAGAGTGAGTATACAGCTCTCTCTTGTTTATACAATAGATGTGTTCTGGCTAGGACACACAAAGGGAACCCATTATAGCATGTAAAACACTGGTATTCATTCTGAGACTGCAAGTTCCATATTTCTGGACTGATGTTTACCAAAAAAAAAAAAAAAAATGAACCTACAACACATGCACCAAATTTCATTCACCAAAAAGAAATGAGAAAAAAAAGGACAATATAAAAATAAGATCATCCCTATACAGTGGACCCCCGCATAACGATGGCATCACATAGCGATTTTTCCGCATACCGATTACTTTTATCGCAAAATTTTTGCCGCGCATACCGATTAAAAACCCGCTTACCGATTTTCGTCCGAGACGCGTCCAATGTGCCCTCACATGTGCCGGCCGTCCCATTGTTTACCAGCCAGCCTCCGCGGTAACATCCAAGCATACACTCGGAATATTTCGTATTATTACAGTGTTTTCGGTGCTGTTTCTGGAAAATAAGTGACCATGGGCCCCAAGAAAGCTTCTAGTGCCAACCCTGTGGTAAAAAGGGTGAGAATTAGTATGGAAATTAAGAAAGATTTTGAAGGGTTTGGGGCTAACCCTGAGAAGCCTATGCCAGTTGTGGAATCCATTGTGCCTACTTCAAAGATTAAGGAAATGTGTGCAGAGTGGGTTGAACTGCAAACCTTTATAGATGAAAATCACCCTGACACAGCTGTTGCAAGCCGTGCTGGTGACTATTTCAATGACAATGTTATGGCCCATTTTAGGAAAGTCTTGAAGGAACGGGAGGTACAGAGCTCTATGGACAGATTTGTTGTGCGACAGAGGTCCAGTGACTCTCAAGCTGGTCCTAGTGGCATTAAAAGAAGAAGGGAAGTAACCCCAGAAAAGGACTTGCTACCTCAAGTCCTAATGGAAGGGGATTCCCCTTCTAAACAGTAAGAAGATAATGCTCTCCCCTCCTCCCATCCCATCAATCATCACCAGATCTTCAATAAAAGTAAGTGTCATGTAATTGTGCATGCCTTTTTCAGTTTGTGTGTATTAAAATTAACATTTCATGTGGTAAAAAAAAATTTTTTTCATACTTTTGGGCGTCTTGCACGGATTAATTTTATTTCCATTATTTCTTATGGGGAAAATTCATTCGCATAACGATTATTTCGCATAACGATGAGCCCTCTTGCACGGATTAAAATCGTTAACCGGGGGTCCACTGTATAATCTAAAATTTATTATTTTTATTATTATCACACTGGCCGATTCCCACCAAGGCAGGGTGGCCCGAAAAAGAAAAACTTTCACCATCATTCACTCCATCACTGTCTTGCCAGAAGGGTGCTTTACACTACAGTTTTTAAACTGCAACATTAACACCCCTCCTTCAGAGTGCAGGCACTGTACTTCCCATCTCCAGGACTCAAGGTTTCCCTGAACCCCTTCATAAATGTTACTTTGCTCACACTCCAACAGCACGTCAAGTATTAAAAACCATTTGTCTCCATTCACTCCTATCTAAAATTTGTAGGAGAATTTAAATTGCTTGCTTTTACCAAAAATTAGCAAACCAGCTAGGCACAAAATAGCTATACTACATATATGAAAAATAAAATACATATCAAAATATGCCAAAAAATTTAATAATTTCAACCATTAGTTCTCTTTTATCCTCACTCCTCCCTCTACCACCTATCATCCAGCCTGTTTTTGTCTAGAATCTAGATTGAAGTAAACACATTATGAACTGTGGATACAAATCTTACTACTATTTCCTCCCTCCACTCCTAGTCCCGACTTTGCGTCTGTTCAACACAACTTTGGCCTTGAGTCCATTTTTTTTTGGCTTGGTGCAAGATACTTAAATTGAAAACTAGCCATAAAATTTTGTTTAGAATATTTCAGTTGAAAACCAGTCATAGGATTTTGTTCAGAATATGCTCATTGGATTTCCCATGCCTAATTTTTTTAAGTCTTTCTTGTGAATATAAACATACTGTTAACCAGTTTAATGATACAGTACATTATTTAAAGAGACGTTGCCAAGAATTGAAGTGCACTGAACTTTGATCTCATAAGAGTAGATTTATACTATACAGTGGACCCTCGACATTCGATACTAATCCGTTCCCGAGAGCTATCGAATGTCGAAAATATCGAAAGTCAAATTAATTTTCCCCATAAGAAATAATGAAAATCAAATTAATCCGTGCAAGGCACCCAAAAGTATGAAAAAAAAAAAAATTAACCACATGAAATATTAAGTTTAATGCAGTAGAATAATTACAATAACAATAGAATAATTGACACTTACCTTTAATGAAGATCTGGTGATGATTGATGAGATGGGAGGAGGGGAGAGTGTCGAAGTTGTTACTGTTTAGAAGGGGAATCCCCTTCCATTAGGACTTGAGGTAGCAAGTCCTTTTCCGGGGTTACTTCCCTTCTTCTTTTAATGCCACTAGGACCAGCTTGAGAGTCACTGGACCTGTGTTGTCGTTCCTTTAAGATTTGTCTAAAATGGGCCATAACATTGTCATTGTAATAGTCACCAGCACGGCTTGCAATAGCTGTGTTAGGGTAATTTTCATCCATAAAGGTTTGCAGTTCAACCCACTTTGCACACATTTCCTTAATTTTTGAAGTAGGCACAATGGAGTCCACAACTGGCATAGGCTTCTCAGGGTTAACCCCAAACCCTTCAAAATCTTTCTTAATTTTCATACTAATTCTCACTCTTTTTACCACAGGGTTGGCAGTAGAAGCTTTCTTGGGGCCCATGGTGACTTATTTTGCAAAAACAAGCACCAAAAACAGTGATATGGATAATATGGAATGTACTGAATGTATCCTTAGATGCACGCACACTGGCTGGCTTGTAAACACTGGCACACACGGGGCAGTTCAGGCTACACGTGGACACGTCTCGTACGAATCGTATCGAATATCGGGTTTTCCATCGAATGTTGAGGCTAAATTTTTGCGTTAAAATGCATTGAATGTCGGATTTATCGAATGTCGGGGGTCCAATGTATGTGGAAAATTGCTAGTGGTGGAAATTGTTGCCACATAATAAATGAATTTGCACAAATCTTAGCTGCATAAAGTAAGGAAAACATGTATGATTGTACATTATCAAATCAGTCCTCAGTGATGGTCCTTGATGCTTATGCCCATGTGGAAATCTGACCATAGTCTGGGCTACAGGAGTAGAAAAACTTAACGTGCACAACAGGTTTGTTTTAATATCTGCACATGTGCATATGAACATTGGTAATCACAGTACCTTACTACAGTAAACTTTTTATGACTCTTCAGGACACATACAAATGATAGTTTGGAAGGGAAGCATTGTAAATGAGAGATAATGAAGGTATTATAGCCACCATACATGAGAGAAATATAAAAGTAGATGTGATAAAATAGGGTGACACTCAAACAGAATAATATTTTAGGAAACTTATAAGAACATATTTTTTCATTTAACCCTTTGACTGTTTTCGACGTATAAATACGTCTTACGAGCCAATGTTTCTGACGTATATATACTCAATAATTCTAGCGGCTTCAAATCAAGCGGGAGAAAGCTGGTAGGCCCACATGTGAGAGAATGGGTCTGTGTGATCAGTGTGCACCTCATAAAAAAATCCTGCAGCATACATTGCGTAATGAGAAAAAAAAAACTGATTTTCTTTTGGAATAAAATGCCGACTTTGAGGTGTATTTTCGTATAGTATTTATCGTTGTATTCGCGTTTTCATGGTCTTAGGTGATAAAATGGAAAACATATTACAGAAATAGAGATGATTTTCATTACTTTGACGATGAAAACGACCTTGAAACTGAGCTCAAAATAGCGGAAATGTTCGATTTTTACCAATGTTCAGGAGTAAATAAATCACACCACACGTCCAATACACGTCAACTGGGGAGTCTAATATTCTTTCACTAGTGCACTGATATTATTTATACCATTTTTGCAATAATGCAGTAGTCTGCATAACAGTAAATTTTGTATTTTTTTGTATGAATAAAAAATCAAAATAGAAAGCAATAATAATATAAGAGGGGCCTAGAGATGTGACTAATGAACAGAGCATATGTTATTTTAGTGCCACGAATGTCTACCTTGTTTATTCTGGACCCTATTTTGAAATTGGCATCTTTTTTAATTTGCGTGAAATTGGCCAAATTGCCAATTTCTGACCACCATATTGGGTAGTCCAAATTAGTAAATGGGAGGTTTCTTGTACTCAGCTGATAAATAAAATGGAGTTCTAAAGAAATAGCAATGAGTTTGGTCAACTGGAACAGTGGAATTGGCTGAAAATAGGGCTCAAAGCCGGCGAAATCACCGATACGCATATGCCGCCGAGACCGCTAACTTCGCGGGAGCATAATTCCATGAGTTTTCGACCAAATTTCAAACTTTTGGTGTCATTTCTATCGGGAAAAGATTCTCTATCATTTCATAAGAAAAAATTTTTTTTTTTTTTCAAAAATTGAGCGACATAGAATGACAGTTTCAGAAAAGGGCCTGAAACTGTCAAAGGGTTAACCAAGTTTGTGATCAGAATGTGCATTATTGCTGTCCCTGAAAATGTGATTAAATATCCTACCCATGTTTCATAATCATTATTTTTTACAGGAAATTAGTCGCCTTTGAAAGTAAGTTGATCATCAGCTATTTTCATACACAGAATTGCACTCTGTACAGTATATACTGCATAACAATGGGTCTGTCAAAAAATGTTCTTTAAAAATACATGATATATATCATTTTTGCAGGGTCCAACAGCACCCTTGGGCTTGGCTGGCCCTCCAGGCAATCCCGAACAGGAGGCTGAGGGCCAGAAGAACACACTTGTTATCACTAGGGAAAACATAAGCAGTGTCAGCCCACCCTCGTCTCCAAGTTCTCTCCCATCTGACGCTTCTTCTCATAGGTACAGCACCGTTATTACTGTACAAAATCACTCTTAATGTAATTTATTATTTTTGTATTAGAATTTAAATATAAATATAGGAGATTATAGAATATTGAAAGGATTTTACAAATCTTTTCAACATCTTATGCAGTAGTACCTCAGTACTCAAACTTAATTCGTTCCAGAAGGCTGTTCAAGTGCCAATTTGTTAGAGTACTGAACAAATTTTTCCCATAAGGAATAATGTAAATTAGATTAATCTATTTCAGACCCACCAAAAATACACTTACAAAAGCATTTTAACACGAGGTTTACAAGCCTAGCATGCATAAATCTAAAAAAAAAAGACTAACAATGAATAGGTGAAATAAATGCAGATTTATTCTCACTTTACCTATAATTGGAGAGTTGATGGCATATGTGGAAGATGGTAACTGCTTTCACTCCTTTTGCAACATCAGCCTTTTTAATGGCCTCTTTATTTTTTCGTATTGTAGAGATCGTAGATTTCATCACACAAAACTCGGTAGCAAGCTCGGCCACGTGGGCATCGCTTTCATATTTCGCTATGAGTTTTTTTTTTCATTTCTGTTGTGACTAACCAATTTTCTTTTTGGTTGGCTGTTATTACTAATTTTCTCAGACCCTATGGTGACTTATTTATACAAGTAATATGAAAAACGCCAAAAAATGCAAAGAAACACGAAATAGTTTACAGCAAAGTTCAGTGAATTTCGCACTGAGCAACAGCTGCGGGGAGACTGATGGACATTGTTTGGTCGAGTGCGAAGCAAACGGTCGATTACCGAGTGATTTTTTTTTTATACCAAACAGCGTTTGGATACCGAATTGTTCAAGTACTGAGGTACTACTGTATATCCATAAGAAGAAAAAAATGCCATCATTAACACTGACTCATTCCAACATGAACACTTGTTGCAGCCACAGAAAGAGCTAGTAAGACAGTTACTATTTTACTACCAAACAGGTTTCCATTGTGACATTGCTTCCATCTAGAGCTTGATAAAACTGTGCATATTGAGAAACTTCAAAATAAAAATATCCTCTGTACCTGTTTTCTTCATTACTGTTGGTGCTAAGCTTTTGTATCCAGGTCCCTATTACATTAATTTATTTCAGTTGTAGTGGCCAAGGAATAAATAAAACAGCATATTGCAGTTAAGAATGGCATATAGATAATCAATTTAATAGTAATGTTTTTCTTTCATAATCTTTCTTATGGATCCAGTCACCTAATTTTCTGGTATTTTACTATTCATTCCATGTTTTTAAATTCTGGACATATTCCAATCAATGCCATTCGTTTGCCAAAGAGTTCACATTTCATATTGTCTGCCAATTAGAAATATTTTTACTGCTTCATTCCACCTTAATACCTGCAGTACTGTGTGGCCCTTATGGGTTTAGTGTTTAGTTATGATTATAATAATAATCCACCTTATTACCACCCAATTTAATTGACATGCCAAATGTTTACAAACAGCTTAAGCAAAGAGTGCGACACTACCTCAACAGCTGAAGATAGTACCAGTTTTGCATCATGCCTAACTGGGGACCCCAGCAGTGCCTCTGAGCTCTCTCAGATATCTCCAGTGAAGGATTTGACGCCATCTGATGTCACAAAGAATTTTGGTGCTGAAACATGCACAGCAGAAACATCAGTCAATTCAGGTAGGTGTAAAAAATGTACTTCTTTCTGTAACAGTTTGCTATTTATTATTTTATTGTATAAAATAATAATCCTAGCACTTAATTTTTGGGCTATTACTCTGTTTAACATATCATTTGACTTAAGAGAGTTTATAAATCTGGGGCAGAAAGAAATTCGTGGAGGAATTACAGAAAGGGTTGGAAGGAAATTTTGAGAGGTAGGGACTTGATCATCCTCAATAGAAGTAAGTCACTCTAACTTTTTGGGTTATCCTAGGTTCTTTACACATATGCTGCTATGTATGATAATGTATGTAACTATGTGTGTATACCTGAATAAACTTACTTAGCAGGCATGATTAAGGGTCTTAGATCAGAGCAAATGGAGAAAAGTGGATTTTAGGGATCTTGTGTGTTGTTGGAGTGTGAGCAAGGTAATAGCTAAATGGATTCAAGGAAACCAAATGGCAGTAATTAAGTTCTTGAGTTAGAAAGTTTAGTGCTTATATTGAGGTAAAGACTATGCAATGAAGGTTCCTTGATGCTGGTTAGGGACTCTTGATATAGGGTATTGGATCTATGCTCCAGTTCCCTGAATTGCCTTCCATACCCCCCTTCTGCAGGCACTGTATAATCCCTATGGGTTTAGCACACCCCCCCCACCCATGATAATAATTATACTGAGGTAAGGGTTGTGATGTTGCAGTATAGTGGATCAGTTGAATTGTGATGTCCCTGCACTTCTGATAAGATAGCTAGGGATTGAGTGATTGTGAATGTGTTTTCCTTCATTGGATCACCCTTCTTTAGTGGAAAATAGCCCAGGTGTTATGATAATTATTTTTCTATAAGTGGTGTCAATATCATGTTGCAATATCACATTAATATAGTCAGTGGTGCCATAGTTTCCTATGGTATTTATACGTTACTTATTACTTGCACAATAATCCTTTTGTATTAAACATTTCTGTATGTCTTCACTTGTACAGTATATTTTCTGTATAGATGTTGAAGTTATTTCTTGCATGACTTAAATATTGCTAGTAGATACATTAAGAACTTCTCAGTTAGGCACTTCTTGTTAAGCAACTTCATACTAAAGTGTACTTATTTCATAAAATTTCCTGTTTAATTGAAAACTTGACTAATCTTTCTATTCTAATCTAAAAAAAAAATTTGTTACTCCCATTTTTGTTAGCGAGCAATAATACATTTTCTTTAGTACTTAACGTACTGTACACATCTTTAATACTTTATTTGCCTTGGACTTGAAAATGAACATTTTTCATTTATTGGAATTTTACATTTACAATCTCCATAAAATATTGCTAATCAGAATTATTCATTTGCAGTGTCTGACTCTGTCGCTCAGAACATTACCCAAAATGGGGTTAAAAAAGGTATACTTAAAGCTTTTTAAAGTTTTATTTCTGCTGATCTTAGATGAATGCATTTATCCACCCTTATAAGCAACAGCTGAGTGTGTTATCCACCTTAGCATAGTATAGGTCTGACCTGAAATTTTGTGACAGCTGTTAAATTGCTCTTTTTTTTGACTAATGAGAAGCTAGTAAACTAATCTTTTTGTGTAATTTTTAGAAAAAAAATGTTATAAGCTTGTAAGTATTGTACCATATAATAGTGTGACAGCTCTAGTACACCCTTTCCATATGGACTAACTGGCAAGCATTTAGTTCCACAGATTTACATTTCTGTGTTTTTTCTTTTTAATGAGCCAGTAGCTAAGATCACTGACAGTGTACCTTCATTTAGCACCAAATAAGATTAGAAGAATCATTGCAAATTTGGTGCCTCTTACATGTTCTCTTAATGTCTTTAAAAGATATATGGTATATATAATTTAATATTGTATGGATATTGGATATTAAAATAAAATTTACCCATTATGTATTGCCATTTATCCTTTAATATGCAGCATTTATTTTGCATATACTGTGTAGATATGTAAACTCACTTTCTGAAAAAATAATTAAGAAAGATAAACTGAATATTTTAATGAACAAAAAGCACAATACCATGACAAGTGGAACGATATACAAATAAGTGTTACAGAGGAGAAAGAAGTTTGATGACATTTCGATCTGACTTGGAACAGTCTGCAATTGAAACCTCTCCAGCAAACCTCAAAAATATTAAGTTTATCTTATTTTTTCAGATAAGTTTATATAACATTTTTCAGAAAGTGCAACGGTACTTTCTCACACTGCAACCCATCCTCCTAAGCAACATTAGTACAGTGTATCACTTTGTCTGAAGACTGTCAGATGTGTGATGTTGACACTTGAATGAAAATGTGATTACTGGACCATGTATTGTTCAGTTCAGTATGCTTGGTGGCTCCTGAAATTCTGTTCACATATCAAAATTTTTATCACCTTTACATATTATTGCATTTATTACTGCTGTGGTATACTATAATTGATTAATTTTTGCTAATAGACACTCTCCCCTATTTGTGGTTGCAGGGGTCAAGACTCGGCTCCTGGCCCTGCCTCTTCACTGACCGCTACTAGGTCCTCCCCATCCTCTCCCTGCACCATGAACTATGTATATCATACCTCGTCTTAAAACTATGTATGGTTCCTACCTCCACTACCTCACTTTCCAGACTTTTCCACTTCCTGAGAACACTGAGACTGAAGAAATACTTCCTAACATTCCTTTGACTCGTCTGAGTCTTCAACTTCCAATTGTGACCCCTTGTTTCTGTGTCCTATCTCTGGAACATCCTGTCTCTGTCCACCTTATCTGTTCCTCGCAGTATTTTGTACGTCGTTATCGTGTCTCCCCTAACCCTCCTGTTCTCCAGTGTCGTCAGCCCTATTTCCCTTAACCTTTCTTCGTAGGACATTCCCCTTAGCTCCGGAACTAGCCTTGTTGGAAACCTTTGCACTTTCTCTAATTTCTTGATGTGCTTGACCAGGTGTGGGTCCCAAACTGGTGCTGCATACTCCAGTATGGGCCTGATGTACACGGTGTACAGTGTCTTGAGTGATTCCTTACTGAGGTATCGGAATGCTATTCTCAGGTTTGCCAGGTGCCCATATGCCACAGGTTGTGTGCTTCTGGAGACTTGCTCAGAATTATACTTGCCCCAGGATCTTTCTCCTTGAGTGAGGTTTGCAGTCTTTGGCCACCTAGCCTATACTCTGTCTGCGGTCTTCTTTGCCCTTCCCCGATCTTCATGACTTTGTATTTGGCTGGGTTAAATTCGAGTAGCCAGTTGCTGGACCACATGTCCAGCCTGTCCAGGTCTCTTTGGAGTCCTGCCTGATCCTCATCTGATTTAATTCTCATTAACTTCACATCATCTGCAAACAGGGACACCTCTGAGTCTATCCCTTCCATCATGTCATTCACATACATGTACACCAAAAACAGCACTGGTCCTAGGACTGACCCCTGTGGAACCCCACTTGTCACAGGCGCCCATTGTGATACCTCGTCTTGTACCATGACTCGTTGCCTCCCTTTCAGGTATTCTCTGGTCCATTGCAATGCCCTTCCTGTTATATGTGCCTGATCCTCCAGCTTCTTACTAATCTCTTGTGGGGAACTGTGTCGAAGGCCTGGCAGTCCAAGAAAATGCAGTCAACTCACCCCTGCCTCTCGTGTCTCACTTCTGTTACCTTATCATAAAAATCCAGGAAGTTTGTGACACAGGATTTACCTTCCATGAATCGGCATGCTGGTTGTCTTATAATCTTGTTCCATTCCAATGCTATATCACTCTATCTGATAATCTCTCCATGATTGCTAACTTTCAATGGGTCAGTGATATGGTCTATAGTTTAGTGCCCGGTCTCTGTCTTCTTTTAAAAATGGGAACTATATTTGTCCCATCTTCTATACCTCAAGTAGTTGCCCTTTTCACGCGCTGTGTTGAAGGTCATGTTAGTGGCACATTCACAGTGTCTCTGCTTCCCTCTTTCAGGAGCCACGGGGAATGTTGTCTGTCCATGCCTTTGAGGTCTACAACGGTCTACTTAGCAGCTTCTTCACCTACCTCTGTTGTGTGCATGTCTCTAAGGCTATCTGTTGGGTATATTCCATTTTTTTTTGGTGTCCTCCTCTGTTCCGTCTTCCAGAATCCTACCTTTCTCCATTGTAAAACTTCCTTAATCTCGTGTATGAGCTCCTTACTCTCTTGTCGTTTTCTTGTGAGTTCCCCACTTCATTTCCTCAGCCTCACCAACCAGGGTCTTTGACTATTGTCTTCTTTCATGTGGCCTTATACAGCCGTTTTCGGTCAGATTTGATTTTCGATGCTTTTTTTTTTTTTTTTTTTTGTACTGTCGCTCGGAATCTCTCACCAGTGACATACTCATTCTCCTGGCTCTTCGACTAATCTATATTTTAATGCGTGTCCTTTCCCTCTCTGTATTTTTTCATTCCCTAGTGCACTTCATTTTTTTGCCTCCCTTACACTTCGGGTAAACCAAGGTTGTTCTGGTCTTACTCATTGGTTCTGTTGCCCCTTGAGGAATCAACCTTTCTCTGTTCTTGCATTTTGTTATGTATTCCATCATTTTGTTTACTGATTTTCCTACCAATTCTCTGTCCCACTGAACTTCTTGCAGGAAGTTCCTCATACCTGTGTAATCTCCCCTTTTATAGTTTGGCTTTTCCCATTCAACTCCTGTGACCCTCTCCACTTGTAACTCTACTATGTATTCAAAGCTCAGAACTATGTGATCATTAGCTCCAAGGGGCCTCTCATATGTGATGTCCTCAGTGTCTGAACTGCTCAGAGTGAACACTAGGTCCAGTCTTGCTGGTTTGTCCTCCCTTCTCTGGTAGTGTCTGTGACGTGTTGATGCATGAGGTTTTCCAATGCCACATCCATTTGGCTCTCCATGTTTCAGGGCCCCCATGTGGCTCCAGGTTTTCCCAATCAATCTCCCTGTGGTTGAAATCGCCCATAACCAGTAACTTTGCTCTGCTCGAGTGAGCTCTTCTTGCCACCTCAGCCAGTGTGTCCACCATCACTCTGTTGCTATCTTCATATTCCTCTCTTGGCCTCTTGCAGTTCTGTGGTGAGTTATACATCACTGCTATGACTATTTTGTTTCCCAGACTGAATGGTACCTACTGGGTACTCCCTTTCTCCACTCTCGTCCATTTTTTCCATCTCGAATTCCCATTGGTTTTTGATAAGCAGTGCAACCGTCTCCTCCCCCTCTGCTCCTTCTGTTTCCTCAGGATCTGATATCCCGGTGGGAAGATTGCTTCTGTTATTGTCTCAGTGAGTTTCGTTTCTGTGACTGCTATGATGTCTGGGGACTTCTCATTGATTCTTTCATGCCACTCCTGGTATTTCTTCGTTATTCTTTCTGCGTTCGTGTGCCAAACCTTCAGCTTCTTTTCTAAAACTGTGGTCCTAGGAGAATATTGGGGTTGGGGGAGCAGGAACCCTGGCAGAGGCCTATGGGGGGTTGTGGTTGAGGTGGGGTTTGTGATGAGGGGGGCAGGGGCAGAGTGCCCATAGGGGGTTGCTGTAGGGGTGGGGTTTGTGGTGTGGGGGGTGGGGACAGAAGGAACAGTGTGTGGGTTTTAGTTTGGAGTGTTCAGATGCATTGGGGTTGTCATAGTTGGAGTCCTTCCGTGAGTGTTTCTGGCAGGTGTGTTTGCCCTTCCACCTGGGTCTGGGTTCTGCTCATCTTCATCATTGCCTCTCGTTCCTCCTTTCGTCATTGTACCCTCTCTTTCAGTATCATCCTTTTCTCTTGTGTTCTGTCTCTGTCATGCTTTCTCCTGCAGGATCTGTCTGTGTCTGCCTGTGCATGCATGTATTTATATTATTTTATGTAATATAAAAGAAAACAGTGTAGGCTTTAGGAGGATGGGTTACATACTGTATAGTATATTCATAGTGTTTTCTTCCCTTTTCATGATGCCCCTTACATTCACAATAGTTACATTTCTTGGAGAAATGTGACTCCTAATTGTTCATTCATCTCACACAAGCCTGTTACTAAGCATTTCATTTTCTCAGTTTCCTTGCAAATTTTCACTTACAAACTTATTAATTCCATCCCTTTTTAATTTTCATAGCATTTTTTCTGCTTAATACTATCCAGAATTTTTTTACAATGAATATATTCTTTGCCAATACATACTTTACTTTTATCGCTGTACTTTCATCTTGCCAAATCAATCCAGTTAAGATGTCCTAAGACATCTTAACTGCTGCCATATATGTGAAGATTCATGAAGGCATATGGTGCATCAAGCATTTTTGTCTTTTAACATGTTGGTTTGGCTAGCATGTAAGTGAAGATGACCACTTGTTTGCACTGAGCATCAATAATTTTTTGGAAAGAATAAGGATTTTCTCAATGATGATATTTTAGTAAGAAAGTACAGTAAATAGAAAGATGAGCATTGAACATACTCACTAGCAGTGTTAAGAAAAACAGTAATAAAAAAAGCAGTATTAATTGTAAGGGCAGTTTGGAGGTGGAGAAAATCTTACACATTTTGTTGGAATATTTCTTATACAATAAAAACTTTATATTTAATTTTTTACAAGAGGCATCGGTAAAATTCTCGTTGAGGGAAATTTCCTGTTTTTTGCACGACAAAGTACTTCCCTGCTTTGTCTTGGAGAGAATGTAGACCAAGTGGTGCTTTAATGAGTGTAGCCATGCCACAGAGAAGTGCCCTCACTGTCAGAATGGTTATCCCCCTGTACTTAACTTGAATGGGTTCTTCAGTGGGTGACAAAGATCCACTGATCTACAATAATGCTTAATAATAGCCCTGTTTAAGCTCTTTGCAAACATAGCTCGATCTCTCCTAATTTTTTTTTTTTCTCCTTCAACAAACCGGCCGTATCCCACCAAGGCAGGGTGGCCTCAAAAAAAAACGAAAGTTTCTCTTTTTAAATTTAATAATTTATACGAGAGAAGAGGTTACTAGCCCCTTGCTCCCGGCATTTTAGTCGCCTCTAATCATTTTTATAAAAATTATAAACAGCTTAACTTATTTAGTCTACATAGTGATTTTTATCTAAATGTGATTGAAAAGTGCCTTCTAATTTGCATTGCACTTGAAAAGAATTATAATAATGCAGTTTTTGATGGCATTATCAAGTTGCATGCAATTTTTTTTTTCAAAATTTCTTTCAGTTGGGGAAGGAGGGGGGATTGAGACACACCATTTACACGACAATCTTCCGACTTGAAATCTTGCAAATGCTTGCATGCTTTAATCCTTTAGATACCACAGATATTCATTGAGTTGTCCCAAAGTTACTGCATGTACTGGAATTTATGGTAAAATTTTTTCGGGAATATACGTTTGGATAAGGATATATGTGTTATCTTGATAGGTCAGTATATGTAATAAAGTTGGTAGTATTTACCGATCAATATGTAAAGTAAAAGCGATCCACAAGCGGGGGCCAACTAATGAACATTATCTTTTAATTGTGGCAATTTACAAGCGTCCAGTGAGCCCTTTCAAGCCGATTTACAAACAATACATGGTACAAAGGGATATAAAAGGCTCAGTGTGAGGTGATATAGTGAGGTACAATTTGATTGATTCACTAGTGTAGTTAGTGGTTGATGGATACTACCATACTACTTGTCACTACCACTTACTCATCTACTATACTATCTACTCAAATACTTACAGTTGGGGAAGCATCGAAATGGTACTCACTATATTCCACTCATCAACTCTGAGTCTTTATATACCTCTGTGTCATGTTTGTTTCGTAATAGGCTTGATAAAGTCCCTGAGATGGAGCGAAACGTAGCATATAAATGATTTTTGGGTTTGCATTTGTGTCCTTTTTACTTTACAGGTACAGTATATGCTTCTAAGCTGTTGTGTTCTGAGCACCTCTGCAAAAACAGTGATTATGTGTGAGTGAGGTGAAAGTGTTGAGTGATGATGAAAGTATTTTCTTTTTGGGGATTTTCTTTCTTTTTTGGGTCACCCTGCCTCGGTGGGAGACGGCCAACTTGTTAAAAAAAAAAAAAAATAAAAATACAAAATTATATATTGTAAAAAAATGCATCATGAAGCAACAGTGGGTGAAAGCACAATTGTGTGTATAGTACCATCCCCATATTAGACAAACCATCACACCCTACCACTAATGCTGTGGGGAAAACTATTCTCAAATGCAGTCATTCACAGAATAATTGAATACAGTGGACCCCCGCATAACAATATTAATCCGTTCCTGAGAGCTCATTGTTATGCGAAATTATCGTTATGCGAATGAATTTTCCCCATAAGAAATAATGGAAATCAAATTAATCCGTGCAAGACACCCCAAAGTATGAAAAAAAAAATTTTTACCACATGAAATATTAATTTTAATACACACAAACTGAAAAAGGCATGCACAATTACATGACACTTACCCTTATTGAAGATCTGGTGATGATTGATGGGATGGGAGGAGGAGAGAGTCTGTGTTTAGAAGGGGAATCCCCTTCCATTAAGACTTGAGGTGTCAAGTCCTTTTCTGGGGTTACTTCCCTTCTTCTTTTAATGCCACTAGGACCAGCTTCAGAGTCACTGGACTTCTGTCGCACAACATATCTGTCCATAGTGGCCTGTACCTCTCGTTCCTTTATGACTTCCCTAAAGTGTTTCACAACATTGTCAGTGTAATAGTCACCAGCACGGCTTGCAATAGCTGTGTGAGGGTGATTTTCATCCATAAAGGTTTGCACTTTCAGCCACATTGCACAGATTTCCTTAATCTTTGTAGTAGGCAACTTCTTCAATTTCTCTCTCCCCTCCTCCGAACCAGTTTCCTCAGGTATGGCCTCTTGCTGTTGAAGTTGATCTAGCAGCTCATCAGTGGTTAGTTCTTCATTGTCCTCCTCCACCAACTCTTCCACATCATCCCCACTAACCTCCAACCCCAAGGACTTTCCCAATGCCACAATGGATTCCTCAACTGGCATACTCCTCTTAGGGTTAGCCTGAAACCCTTCAAAATCCCTTTGGTCTACACATTCTGGCCACAGTTTCTTCCAAGCAGAGTTCAAGGTCCTCTTAGTCACTCCCTCCCAAGCCTTACCTATAAGGTTTACACAATTGAGGATATTAAAGTGCTCTCTCCAAAACTCTCTTAGTCAGTTGAGTTTGAGGTCACTACAAAGCACCTTTCAAACAGAGCTTTTGTGTACAGTTTTTTGAAGTTTGCAATAACCTGCTGGTCCATGGGCCGCAGGAGAGGAGTGGTATTAGGAGGCAAAAACTTCACCTTAATGAAGTTCATGTCCCCATAAAGTCGCTCTGCCACGTCTGTAGGATGACCAGGGGCATTATCTAACACCAGGAGGCACTTAAGGTCTAATTTCTTCTCAGTTAGGTAATCTTTCACATTGGGGGCAAATGCAGGGTGTAACCAGTCATAGAAAAAGTCCCTAGTGACCCATGCCTTACTGTTTGCCCTCCACAGCACACACAAATTAGCCTTGAGGATATTCTTTTGCCTGAACACTCTGGGAGTTTCTGAGTGATACACTAATAAAGGCTTCACTTTGCAATCACCACTAGCATTGGAACACATCAACAGAGTAAGCCTGTCTTTCATAGGCTTATGTCCTGGGAGTGCCTTTTCCTCCTGAGTAATGTAGGTCCTGCTTGGCATTTTCTTCCAAAACAGGCCTGTTTCATCACAATTAAACACTTGTTCAGGTTTCAGTCCTTCACTGTCTATGTACTCCTTGAATTCCTGCACATATTTTTTCAGCTGCTTTGTGGTCCGAACTGGCAGCCTCACCATGCCTTATCACACTATGTATGCCACTACGCTTATTAAATCTCTCAAACCAACCTTTGCTGGCCTTAAATTCACTCACATCATCACTAGTTGCAGGCATTTTTTTAATTAAATCCTCATGCAACTTCCTAGCCTTTTCACTTATGATCACTTGAGAGATGCTATCTCCTGCTATCTGTTTTTCATTTATCCATACCAATAAGAGTCTCTCAACATCTTCCATCACTTGCGATCTCTGTTTCGAAAACACAGTTGAACCTTTGGCAAGAACAGCTTCCTTGATTGCCGTTTTGTTGCCCACAATAGTAGCAATGGTTGATTGGGGTTTATTATACAACCTGGCCAGCTCGGAGACACGCACTCCACTTTCATACTTATCAATGATCTCTTTCTTCATCTCTGTAGTAATTCTCACCCTTATTGCTGTAGGGTTGGCACTAGAAGCTTTCTTGGGGCCCATGGTCACTTATTTTGCAGATAAAATCACCAAAAACACTGTAATAATACGAAATGTTCCGATTGTATGCTTGGATGTTACCGCGGAGGCTGGCTGGTAAACAATGCCACCGGCGGAACATGTGAGGCTGGCTCAGGCCGCACATTAGACGCGTCTCGGACGAACAGCGTTGAGCGGCCAACGGTATGCGGGGGTCCACTGTACAGTATTTTCCTAAACACAATGCTTTACATATTGTAATATGAATATAAGGGGAAAGTTTTTAAATGTAGAGTACTAGTTGAACCCAGTTGATCAATGAGCTGCCTAGTCGGATGCTTGATTGCCATCCGACTTTAGAATTTCCTTTCCTAAAAATGGTTATTTGGGCTAAACATGTAGTCGAAGGTTGGAAAATAGGTGAGTGACTGTATTTGCTACTTGTAGCTTTGGTAACAAAGTATTGTACATTATGGATAAGAGGGATGAGAACTGGGTGTATTGAAGAGTTATTTTGTAAACTAATTTTATATCTTCTTCAGTGTTTTTGTTGGTGTGTGCTTTGGAATACAGCTAACTTAATATATCTCATCCTCTCACAATTTTTATTGTTAATTTGAAGCTTAGTGTCCTTTGACCTGAATTGTTTGGTGATATCCATATGTTGTGCTTATCATAACACTGATAAGTCACAATGGCCCTATCAGATATCTCTATAAAAATCATTTGAAACTGAAAAGTAAGTATTGTTTGTTTTTATCAACTGATAATTATTATAATGACTCTAAGAGCACTAAAGATTATTAGTGTTTCACAGTAGTACACAGGATGTCATTCCTGTTGTGCTGTAGGTCCAGCAACACACTATCTGATTTAGACAATTTTTCCACAGATTCTGAGTACGAAAGTGCAGAGGAACTTTATCTACATTCTGAGCCATCCTCCGCTCTTACAGTTCAACCATCTTCAAACAGGCCTGAAAGTCCAGGTACAGACGAGGCTCAGACTACGAAGCAAGAGGTGAGCGTGACACTTGAAGCATTAGAGAAAGCAAGTGTCTCCTCCCTTGAAGAAATTCCTCAGAGAGAGACTGAAGTGTTACCTGTTGCTGTAGAGAATCTGTTAGTTAATGCAGAAAGTTTTCCAGTCAGTGTAGATAATCAAACAGAAAACTTTGCATTAGAAAAATCAGAAAACTTATCTAGTACTATTAGCGACTCATTAGTGACAGTAACCAAAAGTGAAATTATTGAAGAATCTGTGAGTAAAATTACTGTTTTTACTGATCAACAAGCTAATAATTACAGCAGTGCAGTGAATGAATTCTTACCATCCAGTGAGTGTGAACAACCTGCAGAAACAGTAAATACAACATTAACACTTGAAAAGAGGGAAGTATCTGGTGATATAAATACAGAAAGTAAAGACTATGCAATCATTGTCTCTGAATCTCAACCTAAAAGTGTAACTTTAAGTGATACCAAAGAAAGTGAAACTCAGTTAGTTAAATATAATTTGGAAAGGAAACTTGAACAGATCCCTTCTGAAGACCAGTTTGATGATGAGATTACAGGTACAAGCAATGTTTATAGAAAGGAAAATGAAAATATAATACAAAGTGGCAATCAGTTTATCAGTGAGGATCAAAGCAGCTCAAACAACACTGAAGATATTGTAAAGGCATTTAGTGAACAAGCAGCGTGTCAACAAACTAGAGATACAACAAAATGCAACAGAGATTCAACTTCTGAGGAGAGAGTGTCGAGTGTTGATGCTTTAGTGGCACCTCAAGAGGAACACCCACTACCATCAGAGAATTTAATAGGCTTGAATGATAGATCATCAAGTGTTAGCACTTTAGTGGCACACCCAGAGGAACAACCACTACCATCAGAGAACTTTATAAGCCCAGATGATAGATCATCAAGTGTTAACACTTTAGTGGCACCTCCAGAGGAACAGCCACTGCCATCAGAGAACTTAATAAGCCCAGATGATAGGTTATCAAGTGTCAACACTTTAGTGGCATCTTCAGGAGGAGAACCACTACCTTCAGGAAATTTCATAGACCCTGATGATATACCTATTATTCCAAAGAAAAGTTATAACCTTGATTTTCTAGACAATTTAGATGATCCAAACTTTAATCCATTTGCCACAAAGACTTATGTTAGGATCTCCCCTCCACTAAGCCCAGAGCCTGGGTTTGTACTTCCTCCATTGAAGCCTACTGTACAAAAAGCAAAATTAACAAAGCAAGGTAAAACTGCTTCAACTGAAGTACTTGCTGACATTGGAACTAAGACTGAAGACCAGATAGTGTTAGAGAAGGAGCAAAAAATTGATATTCAGTCTTCAAAATTAGAAACAAATCACAGATTACCAGTGTCTCCTGAACACCAGTCTCAAAGTGTTGAACATTCACAAGACTCTGGACAGTTACTCGAAATTGCCTTTGATGACTCGGCAAGTCCTGTAAAGAGACCTAGAAAACTTGGTAAAAAGCCTGATTTAAAACAGCAGAGACAGCCTGTTAAGAAGCCTCCTCCAAAGTCTAAAGCTTTTGAGAAAAACAATAACAAGATTGAAGACAAAAGTATCTCTGAAACAGAAACAAAATTTGTTCATGAAGATCTTCCTATTACCTCATCTAAGGGATATAATTTAGATTTTCTTGACGATCTTGATGATCCAAACTTCAATCCTTTTGCAACTAAGTGTTCTGTAAGCAATTCACCTCCAAAAGAAAGCTCTGTACTTCTTGAGGAAAAAGGAGACCATAAATCAAAGCCAAAGGTTGCCTCGCCAAAGAAAGCACCAGCAAAGAAAGGATTTACAGTAATTAAAAATAAAACCAAAACTAATGTACCTGCTGTAGATGAGACAGATTCATCTAAAAAATTAGTTAGTGACCCAGCTGATTCAGATAATGGTACAGATAAATTGGAAAATAATGTTATAGAGTCTGCTGAAGAAAAAGATACACCTCTACCATCAAAAACAGATTATAATCTTGATTTCCTTGATGATCCAAATTTTGATCCTTTTCAGTCAAGGTCATCTTTAAACCAAAATATAACTGTTGAAGAAACTGACCCATCTAATAAAGTGCCAAAAAATATTGACGTTGCCAAAGATAATTCAGTGAAACACGAGGAAAAATCTGATAATGAATGTGATAAAGATAGTGCCATAGGACTAGAGAAAAAAGTCGAGTGTAATAAAGAACACTTATCTCAAGCTCCCCAAGAAGTAAAGAAGTTAGTTATAAATAAGGACGAAACTAGAGAAACAGTACACTCGCCTGAGAATGAAGAAAAATCAGAGGTCATTGAAGCAAAAACATATATAGAAGTCTGTGCTACATCTGGAGAGACTCGAGGTTGTGAAGAAAAGACATTAAATTCAGAAGAGGAAATACCATGTGTAATAGACACTTCACCAAATCAAACTGATGAAAAGTGTAAGTCAAGTGTAGAACATTTACAGTTAAAGAGTTCACAAGTATCAGAAGAAGCAGCAGCAAGTCCTGTATTACGAAACGAAAATCTAGAGTCAAAACTAGATTTAGAGATTGGAAATACAAGTAGAGAATCAAAGGAGATAGTCTTAGATACAGAGAGAGAAACAAGCCTACCTAAAGTTCCATCTATTGGCACAATTGGTCAGCTTGATAGTCTAGAGTTTGCCCAGTTGCTTGGCAATGAAGCTAGTCGCCTTGCTGAGGAGTTTATGAACTGCTCCACTGATTCTGGACTTCCTGATTCTGATGATAGCAGTTGTATTAAGCCCAGCAACGTAGAGTCGACCATGGCAGACATGAATTTCACTAAGTCACCACAGTATGGTGCCCATCTTGATGAAAATATCAACCCCTTCCAAAAACATTCAAGGTTGCCTAGGTCTCCACCACTGGGCAAGAGAGAGGCAGTTTGTGGAGCAGAAAGTGGAGATATTTCTCATGTGCTTGACTCTTTCAAGGCAAGAAGATCACTAAAACGGGAGAATGTCATGGGAGAAGAGAGACTGGTATGTTGTTGTGAATTTTGTCTTTCGATACAGTATATGGTAAAAGTTTAGATATTTATATTGTCTTTCATTATTTGCTAATTGTTTATATAAGGAACAAACAAGCAATCTTAATTTCTTTAAAACATATTTGAATATTAAAATAAATGAATTTACTGTATGTTTGTGTAAAGATGGCTTAGTAAATGAAAAGGCCACTAGTTCCAACCATTTCAGATTAAGTGAAAATAAAGTTTGCATTGTCTTGTTTGTTACATTATCTTCTATCTTTAAGGCCTTTCTTACATGAAATTATACAATAAATGAAAACTATGTACATGTACTGTCTGGCATGATCACGAGCGGAGCACTGACTAACTTGCTTTACGTTAAGTGGGAGATTAGTGTTTCATTGATTGTTTTTGCTGTTATTGACTTAATTTTTTGTTGTGGAACAACCCAGGACACTGTTAGTGTGGATGATGACTCGGGAATAGTGCTTGGAACTCGCTCAGACTTGGAAACAGAAGTCAATCATAGTGAAGCTGGGCCTGAAATTGCTACAGGTCTTACCTCAAGCGACCTCAGATGTGCATCACAGTGTAAGCATTAAAATGTCTGAAATGTTACACGAAGAATGCTTTCCTTGCATTTTGCATGCCTTTGGATTTTTTGGATGTAATGCTTATGCAGTTTTGCATTATCATTTATTCTCTACTGTCATTTTCCATTCTGTATAGTTTCAGTGAATTAGAACCATAATGCCTTTTATATCACACATTTCCTTGAATTCATAATCATTTACTAAATGCAAAAATGCTTATAACAGTGATTAGTGAATGTTCTTCACCTTGACTGCATTCTCTTTGCAGTATCACTTGGTTAACTTCTTGTTTTATGAACATTCACTTTAAAGAACAAAGAGGCACAATGCCATGACTGAAACAATACACAAATAACTGCACATAGGAAAGAGGAGCCCACAAGGATGCCCTAGTCCAACTTGGACCATTTACAAAGTTGAACCGGGGCGTCGTCGTGGGCTCCTGTCTCCTGTGTGTGGGTTATTTGTGTAACATTCACTTTGTCCTTCAAGTGCCAACTGTTCATTGTTCTCTTTCCCTCGTCCATGTATGCCTTTTCTTGTTAATGTTTCACCCATACTCAGTATATGTGTAGTTGTTTAGGTACTCAGCCTTTCCTATGTTTTTCCCAAGAAGCAGCAACTTTACTTGCCTGATAGCGAGACTAACATGTAGTATTCTTCAACAGTAGTTTAGTTCTTTTTTCACTAATATTAAATACTTGAAAATAGTTTAAATTCCTGGAGAAATGTCTACATTAGTCACCACCCCATGGACAGGAACTTCTCATAATGGACAATACATGAAATATATACAGTGCTCCAGTAGGCAAAGATAAGGTGTGTGGGCACTATGGTGAATCATATATTGCATCTTTTAGTGTTGTTGCATTCATTGATGATTAATATAGTAGGTGTTTTTTAGCATAATATTGTTTTCTGTAGTTTATTTAGCAGTGTTAATCCCATTCCATTTCTTTAAGTCTAGTTTTGCTTGAATTTTTATCATATTTCTCTTGTAATGGTCCTCTCAATATGAAGTTGTTAATTTAAATATTCCTCATATATTTTATATGAACTACTGTAAACAAGAATGTTTTTCTATTCCATAGCACGGGTATGTAGGTTTCATGCACAGATTTTTTTTACTTACAAGTTTAATTTTGTGAAATTTATATTGCTTGCCTGTTGCTACCTGCCTGCCGCATGCCGTGTGCTTTTTCAACATGACTTTCCAGCGAAAACAGAAGATGAAGAGGAAGAAATGTGTGACCAAATTACTGATGAAGAATTCCTTGCATCAGAAGCATGTAAGTTTAAAAGGTCTTTTAGGCACCCCTCATTTCTAAGTAATTAAATGATACACTTTGTATGTTTTCAAGACCACTTTTACATTTGAGAGATATAATGGTATAAAGTAAAGTATTGGTGTACATCTCTCATTAATAGTAATATCAACTAGTAATTGGAAAAAATTTAATAAAGATTATATCCTGGGCATGTTATATAGCAGTATTTTGATCACACTAGCATGAACTAAAGAATATTATTCATGCTATGTTTTACTCTAGTGGTAAAGGAAATAACAGCAAGTACAATATATAAATGATTTATTACATTAGATCAGATTTTGAATATCTTTCAAAACAAAAGCAAAAATATTGTACTATGAGCAGATTAATACACAAATAACCAACACATAGGAGAGGGAAGTTTACGATGATGTTTTGGTTCAACTTGGACCATTTACAAAGTCTCACTAACACAGAGAGGGAGCCAGGTAATATTACTACTGTTAGAAATGAGGGTGGGTGAATATTCAGGACATCGTGGGTTAAACATACTTTGCAAGGTGAGCCAGTTTTTTTATGACATCTTGCTCAGATATTAGCTTTATCAACCATTATTGAAGACTTTAATAAGCTCTTACAAAATGTAATATATATTAAGGGCTCTCCTTGCTAAGTGTCTTTGTCTTACACATTTTTCTGCAGGAAATTATGGCCATCTTAGTATGGTATTTGTAAAGGGAAAAGAATTGATGCATGGAGTCTGGGGGAAGAATCTTCTATTTTTTTATTTTTTATTAATTTGATTCTTACACAAGTGCAGTAAATCCTCAATTTAATGGACTAAGACTGGAACAGGTGACTGGTTATGGTGATTTTCGTGGATAGAGATGAGATTGTTTTGCCCTATTGCAACGCTAATGGACAATTCTGTAACTAATGTAATTTTGGTTTCCAAAACAAGTGTCCATGTATGTTTTATATTGTATTTCTGAAGTCCTTTAAATTGAAATCTATCTGTTAAATTGAGGAATTGTTGTACATAGTGTGCTAACTACTGTATTGCTTTGTTACTTTAACTCTTTCAAAGCTGCATGGATAAAGTTGACGAAAATTTTATGGCAACATATAAATTCTTTGATATTTATACAGCAGTACTTGGGAATATACCTAGCTTTTAGAACACTTTCTTGTATTTAATAGCTGTCATTGAGGATAAATTACAAACCCACCCTTGTATCATTTGGAGCCATATTTAGTATTTCTTTAATATCAAATGTGGGAATAACACTTTTATGATGTTGGGTATGTTAGTTAGGTTAGTGTTTATAGGCAGATTAGAGGGAGGGGGTAAAGGAGGTTTTTTGGGCGAGGGACTTGGACTTGCAGCAAGTGTGCGTGAGCATGTTAGATAGGAGTGAATGGAGACAAATGGTATTTGGGACATGACGAGCTGTTGGAGTGTGAGCAGGGTAATATTTAGTGAAAAGATTCAGGGAAACCAGTTATTTTTATATAGCCGGACTCGAGTCCTGGAAATGGAAAGTACAGTGCTTGCACTTTAAAGGAGGGGTTTGGGATATTGGCAGTTTGGAGGGATATGTTGTGTATCTTTATACGTATATACTTCTAAACTTCTAAATTGTGTTGAATGATGATGAAAGTATTTTCTTTTTGGGGATTTTCTTTCTTTTTGGGTCACCCTGCCTCGGTGGTAGACGGCCAACTTGTTAAAAAAAAAGGGGGGGGAGGGCAGATTATTAGTGAAAAAGCATGTAAACTCAGGAATTCTGCCTCCAGTTAATTAGGTGTCCCTTATATCACTTGTGCTTTATAAACCCCCCCCCCCCCTCATATGTTAACTTTTTCTTCCTTACCACTCCTTTTAATGATGTGATATCTGTTGACCTTCTGTAAACATTCACATCCAAAAATCTACCCATCAGTCTTTTATCCAACAAACTGTTGTCATTATACCCTATATCATATCTTGTATACTTATTTATCCTCTTTTTTTTTTCCTTAAAATATGTATTATCTATTACCAAATCTCTTTCTATATAAAGCTCAATCAAAGGTTCCTTATTATCATTTACCCCTGGCATCCCAAACTTAATTACAGCCTCTCCTCACTTAGCGACACACTTGTTTACCAACCGCTCGGACTCACGACCAGCTCTCCAACCAATATGCTAACCTAAGCAGTGTATATTAGAGCTGATTTCCTCTATTCTGTTTTTTACAGTATATAGTACACTACTGTATAAACATTTAAAAATATATACAAAAAAAAGTTATAAATGGTGGAAAGGTGACATTAAAAAAATATCTGAAGATAGATGATACAAACCACTACCAGTACAGTATGCTCCTCGCTTAATGACTAATTTGCTTACTGACCTACTCTTAGGAACAGAACCCCTCGTTCTTAGGAACGGAACCCGTCATTAAGTGAGGAGAGGCTGTACTTTGCCCTCCACAGTAGTTGCTCCCACTTTAACATTTAGTTCCTCAATCACAATTACTCTTTCACTTGGTTCATAGCTCCTGAACATTCACTTAACTTCTCCCAAAATATATCTCCTCTACACTCTCTCTCCTCCAGTTGCATCAACACTTAGTATAACCCACTTTTTGCATCTGACTCTTATTTTGCTCCATATAATCCTCGAATTTATACATTTGTTTCTTCTTTTTCCCCTGCCATAACTGATCCTCACATTGATAAACATCTACAGAGTTCCACAGTCAAACATTAGCCAATTTAGTCAAAACCTAGGAAGTATGATAACTGATGCACGCATGAACAAAGATCACTTACTACTCTCAGGTGACTTCAATATAAATCTCCTGCAAGACCAGGACCCACACGTTACTGAATTCACAAACACAATGAGTAACTGTATGTTGCTACCAACAGTAACAAAACCTACAAGAGTTACAGAGACTAGTGTTTCCCTACTTGACCACATCTGGACCAACACCATATCCCCTTTAAAATCAGGCATAATTACAGATAATACCACAGACCACTACCCTACTTTCCTCATAACAACTCTTGGTAAATTACCCCAAGACACTACTAAAGTCACCTTCAGACTTCACAATGAGGCAGCCATTAATAACTTCACAACAGCATTAGCAAACATTGATTGGCACACTGAGCTAGAAATCAATACAGATATTGACGAATGTATTAATAATTTTCTAAAAAGACTCAATACCTCTATAACAAGCACTGCCCTAAAAAAACTAAGCAGATGACAGCTAAGAGACTGAACAGTCCCTGGCTAACACCCAGCATTCTCAAATCCATAAATACAAAACACCAATATGAAAAACAGTACAGAATGGGTCACATAACCAGAGACCAACAAAACGTTACTCGTCAATCCAAACCAGCCTGATAAGAAGGGCAAAAAAAATTGTATTATGAGAACAGATTATCCAACTTACGAGGTGATATAAAAAAGACCTGGAAAACCCTATCAGAAATTCTGGGAACAAAAAAGATATCACGAAATAGCGAAATAAAATTAGCAAAATCAGATGAACCCAACTCCCACCAACAGAAACAGCAAACAGACTCAATGATTTCTTCTCCACTATAGGACAAAACCTTGCCAATAAAATCCCAAGCTCAGATAACCCACCAAATGACTACCTCACCGGCAACTACCCGAACACACTGTTCCTAGCTCCGACTAACCCATACGAAGTCTCCCTTATTTCAAACGCACTAAAAAACAAGGCAGGAGATTTAAATACCTTACCACCCTTTATATACAAAAAAGTGTCACAAGTGCTATCACCAATCATTGCAACACTCTTTAACAAATCCATTGAATCCTCCACCTTCCCTACAGTACTCAAATAACAAGGGTCACCCCGATCCACAAAGGAGGAGACCAAACAGAGTTGAATAACTATAGGCCAATATCCAACTTACAACCCTCTCTCAAAAATCTTCGAAAAAATTAATTCATAAACGAATCTACTCCTACCTTATCTCCCAAAACATACTCAAACCCCTGCCAATTTGGATTCAGGCCTAATAAAAATACTAATGATGCTATTATACACATGCTAGAACATTATACACTGCAATAGAGAAAAAAGAAGTCCCACTGGGGATCTTCATTGACTTACGTAAAGCTTTTGATACAGTTGACCATGACTTGCTCCACGTAAAATTATCACACTATGGTATAAGAGGGCACTCCCTCAACTACCTCAAGTCATACCTCAGCAACAGAAGCCAATATGTGTACGCAAATGGGGCAAACTCTTCTGCACAACCAATTACAAGTTGGTTTGTCCCCACAGGAATGTGTCCTTGGCCTCTTCTCTTTTCTCCTATACATAAATGACCTACCAAATGCTTCTCAATTACTCAAACCCCACACTATTTGCTGATGACACAACATACGTCTTCTCCCACCCGAGCCCAGTCACGCTAGCCAATACTGTAAATACCGAATTACAAAAATATCTACCTGGATGAGTACTAACAAACTACAACTAAACATTGACAAAAACCTACTTCATTCAGTTTGGTAACAGAGCTACAGATGTCCCTCTTAACATAATGATAAACGGATCACCTATCACAAAGCTAACAGAGGGAAAATTCTTAGGAATCCACCTTGATAATAGACTCAAATTTCATACACATATACAACAAATTTCTAAGAAAATTTCCAAGACTGTAGGCATACTATCGAGATACGGTACTATGCTCCACAGTCAGCCCTCCTGGCCCTATATCACTCTCTTATTTACCCCTATCCACCTATGGAATTTGTTGCATGGGGCTCAACAACAAGTAACCATCTCAGACCACTAATTACCCAACAAAAGGCTGCAGTTAGAATGATAACAAATTCTCACTACAGGCAGCACACTCCACCAATATTCAATACACTCAACCTACTCACCATACAAAACATCCATACTTATTACTGCACCTATTACATACATAGAACACTCAACTCTGATATTAACCCTCCCCCTCAAACATCTCCTTGCCAACCTCAACAGAACACATGACCATAACACAAGGCCAAGATCACTCTTTGATATTCCTCGTGTCCATCTCACGCTATGCAAAAACTCAATGCACATAAAAGGCCCTAAAATCTGGAATTCATTACCTGTTAATATAAAAGAAACACTACCTGTTTATAAATTCAAGTCTCTTCTCAAAGATCACTTACTCACCCAAAACCAAATAAATACTGAATAACTGAACCTTATAAATTGTATATCTTAAATGTTTCTCACAATTATATCACATAAGTGTTAAACCTAAACCCAATCTAACTTATTATTTTTTAAATTCACTACCTAACAGAATACTCCATTCTACTGAATTTACAACAATGCATGCAACCATATGACCTGTCTTTGTAATACTCACTTGTGCTTTATAGTAATCAGTTTACATTAATGTTTTTCACTGATTTCATCATTGCTTAGTTAATCTTAAGTTAATTTTAAGCCAGCCCGTAATGCTATGCATAGTATAAGTGGCTTTGGCATGCTGCTCTTATCTGTATTTTTTTTTTGTACCTCTGTAAGTGTGCTCAAATTATAAATAAATAAATAAATAAATAAATTATTGCTACTCCTACTCCTTTTGGCTTTGTTGTTCTTAGAGCCAGGACATCCATCTTCTTTTCATACTTAACACTCACAATAGTCTCTTATCTACATTACATCCACACCCATTTTTTTTTAACACTGATCATTTCCCACCAAGGCAGGGTGACCCAAAAGAGAAAAAAAAAATTAGTTTTTCTTTTTACATTTAATAATTTATACATTAGAAGGGGTTACTAGCTCCTTGCTCCTGGCATTTTAATCACCTCTTACAACACTCATGGCTTACAGTGGATGGATTCTTCCACTTCCCACTAATGCACATGGAGACAGAAACACAAAAATAAAGTTGCTCTGAGTATTTTAACCTGCCAAGTGGAATCTTTATCTGCTGAAGAAGACTCCTGTTGGAGGTCAGAATATACAAACCATTTTTGTTTTCTGTGCTTCTGCCTCTATATGAGTCGTTATATAACATCAAGAGTTCATTACACTTTTACGGGTTTTATATACATTTTTTTTTTTTATTATCACACTGGCCGATTCCCACACCAAGGCAGGGTGGCCCAAAAAAGAAAAACTTTCACCATCATTCACTCCATCACTGTCTTGCCAGAAGGGTGCTTTACAATACAGTTTTTAAACTGCAACATTAACACCCCTCCTTCAGAGTGCAGGCACTGTACTTCCCATCTCCAGGACTCAAGTCCGGCCTGCCGGTTTCCCTGAACCCCTTCATAAATGTTACTTTGCTCACACTCCAACAGCACGTCAAGTATTAAAAACCATTTGTCTTCATTCACTCCTATTAAACACGCTCACGCATGCCTGCTGGAAGTCCAAGCCCCTCGAACACAAAACCTCCTTTACCCCTTCCCTCACTTTTCCTAGGCCACCCCTACCCCCCCTTTCCCTTCCACTACAGACTGATACACTCTTGAAGTCACTTGTTTCGCTCCATTCTCTCTACATGTCCAAACCACCCAACAACCCTTCCTCAGCCCTCTGGACAACATTTTTTGGTAATCCCGCACCTCCTCCTAACTTCCAAAATACGAATTCTCTGCATTATATTCACCCACACATTCCCCTCAGGCATGACATCTCCACTGCCTCCACCTTCTCCCTCGCTGCAACATTCATCCCCATGCTTCACACCCATATAAGAGCGTTGGTAAAACTATACTCTCATACATTCCCCTCTTTGCCTCCAAGACAAAGTTCTTTGTCTCCACAGACTCCTAAGTGAAACCACTCACCCTTTTTCCCTCATCAATTCTATGATTCACCTCATCTTTCATAGACCCATCGCTGACACTTTCCACTCCCAAATATCTGAATACATTCCCCTCCTCCATACTCTCTCCCTCCAATCTGATATCCAATCTTTCATCCCTAATCTTTTTGTTATCCTCAAAAACCTTACTCTTTCCTGTATTCACTATTAATTTTTCTTCTTTTGCACCCCCTACCAAATTTATCCACCAACTCTGCAACTTCTCTTCAGAATCTCCCAAGAGCACAGTGTCATCAGCAAAGAGCAACTGTGACAACTCCCACTTTTTTGTGATTCTTTATCTTTAAAAACTCCACGCCTCTTGCCAAGACCCTCGCATTTACTTCTCTTACAACCCCATCTATAAATATATTAAACAACCACGGTGACATCACACATCCTTGTCTAAGGCCTACTTTTACTGGGAAATAATTTCCCTCTTTCCTACATACTCTAACTTGAGCCTCACTATCCTCGTAAAAACTCTTCACTGCTTTCAGTAACCTACCTCCTATACCATACACATGCAACATCTGCCACATTGCCCCCCTATCCACCCTGTCATACGCCTTTTCCAAATCCATAAATGCCACAAAGACCTCTTTAGCCTTATCTAAATACTGTTCACTTATATGTTTCACTTATATTTTTATTATTTTTTTTTTTTTTTATCACTGGCCGATTCCCACCAAGGCAGGGTGGCCCGAAAAAGAAAAACTTTCACCATCATTCACTTCATCACTGTCTTGCCAGAAGGGTGCTTTACACTACAGTTTTTAAACTGCAACATTAACACCCCTCCTTCAGAGTGCAGGCACTGTACTTCCCATCTCCAGGACCCTGTAAAAGTAGGCTTTAGACAGGGATGTGTGATGTCACCATGGTTGTTCAATATATTTATAGATGGAGTTGTAAGAGAAGTGAATGCTCAGGTGTTGACCAGAGGTGTCGGGTTAAAAGATAAAGAATCTGACACAAAGTGGTAGTAGTCACAATTGCTCTTTGCTGATGACACTGCTTTTGGGAGATTCTGAAGAGAAGTTGCAGAGGTTGGTTGATGAGTTTGGTAGGGTATGTAAAAGAAGGAAAGTGAAAGTGAATACGTATAGGAAAGAGTAAGGTGATGGGGATAACAAAAAAATTAGGTAATGGAAGATTGGATATTAGATTGGAGAGAGAGAGAGAGAGTATGGAGGAGGTGAATGTATTCAGATATTTAGGAGGGGACATGTCATCAGATGGGTCTATGAAAGATGAGGGGAAGAAAGTGAGTGGTGTGCTGAGGAGTCTGAAGACAAAGAACTTTATTCATGAAAGTAAAGAAGGGAATGTATAAGAGTATAGTTATACCAATGCTCCTGTATGGGTGTGAGGCATGGGTGGTGAATGTTGCAACAAGGAGAAGGCTGGAGAGAGTAGAGATGTTATGTCTGAGGGCAATGTGTGGTGTGAATATAATGCAGAGAATCCGTAGTTTGGAAATTAGGAGGAGGTGCGGGATTACCAAAACTATTGTCCAGAGGGCTGAGGAGGGGTTATTGAAATGGCTTGGACATGTAGAGAGGATAGAATGAAATAGAATGACTTCAAGAATGTATAAATCTGTAGTGAAGGGAAGGTGGGGTAGGGGCTGGCCTAGGAAAGGTTGGAGGGAGGGGGGTAAAGGAAATTTTGTGTGCTAGGGGTTTGGACTTCCAGCAAGCATGCATGAGCATGTTAGATAGGAGCAAATGGAGACAAATGGTTTTTAGGACTTGATGTGCTGTTGGAGTGTAAGCAAGGTAACATTTATGAAGGGATTCAGGGAAACCAGCAGGCCGGACTTGATTCCTGGAGATGGAGAGTACAGTGCCGGCACTCTGAAGGAGGGGTGTTAATGTTGCAGTTTTATAACTGTAGTGTAAGCATTCCTCTGGCAAGGTGGTGATGGAGTGAATGATGAAAGTTTTTCTTTTTCGGGCCACCCTGCCTTGGTGGGAAACAGCCGATGTGTGAATAAAAAAAAATGTCCTCTGTATATACATACATTGGACAAGAGGAAGCAAAAAACGAAAAAAAAAAAGTAGGCTTGTATGTTTTAAATTTTGTAATTCATTTTTGTTATATGAACAGGTTAGCGAGTTATGTTGAATGGGAAATTGGGAATACTGCCTACATTCACTTTTAATGTAATTTTGTATGGTAGGATATTTTATGCAGTTCACTTTTAAGGCAATATTTTGCAACCTTTATATGCTGTACTAACGTTTTGATTGTTACGTACTGTTTTCCTAGATGGGCATGTCATTGCATATAGGCTACTAGAATGCCTATACATGTATTTGATTTCATATTGCATTAGGCATGTTTCAGTAAACTTCTAAAGTAAATAACTGCTAGGAAAAGTTGGACATTAACATTGGTTACATTTCCTTCAGTTTTCAAAGAAGCGACTGATATGGAGAACCAACTACGGAAATCGTTGGGCACACCACTAATGGGAAGGTATGTTGCTTGTTGTTTATTTCTGAAATTATTGAACTCAGATTAATCTAGCCATTATCACTTACTCAGCCTTATAAATATTTTATCAAGTTATAGCTAATAGGAGCTAAGATCAAAGCAGTTCCTTTAAATATAGTACATAGGACGTAACCATGTTATCTGTTTGGTTCATAAACAGAGGCCATCAAGTAAGTTTGTAGTATTATATATGTACTTACAGTTTTATTAGTTTAATTTGATATGTTAAAAAGTGCATATACTGTGCAGTGTATTATAAATTAAAATTTTGAAGGTAGCTGAGCATACTGCAATTGTTTAAATTGTTGATTATTATCTGAGTTCAAAGCTTTCAGATTTTGTTCATGTATTATTTACCTACTTACCTGTAGATGGTTCTGGGGGTCAGTGAATCTTGGTTGATGCCCTGATCAGTCAGACTTGGATCTAGATGCCTGCATTTCATCAGACACACCACAGCCCTGATCAGTTTTTAATTATTAATTATATGAGCATTGGAAACATCATGACTGAAGAGTCTTAAATTTGATTTGGAGGCTATGGGATGCCATGTCTGCTTACATATTCTTTAATATTGTGTACAAGTCAACCCCTGGATTTTTGATCTCCGCACCTTCCCTAACAAACCTTACCTGTTCATGTACCCCATGTATGAGTCTACCCTAGTTTTTCAGGGACATTAGAATACCATTTGAGTAATAAACTATCTTACTGGTTACGTATTTTTATTATATTGAAGTCACTATTTCAGTGGCAGATGTGCAGCAGCACCTTGTTTTGTACAAAAATTAGGGTAATCTCCCAGTCAAATAAGACAATAATAGTTAAGCACATTATTTTGCCTACTGGCCTGTGCTAGGCAGATCTTTCACTCATTCATCCATTCCCACTCTTGTATTTGTCTAATGCATTTTCAGAATTATAGAGAAGAGGTCTCAGGCATGGGGTAGCTTAAGCTAATTTCACCCTCTATCATACATTCCCCATATATACAGGACTGTAATAACTGGCCATCTCAGCATTTACTTTTTTTTCTTTTAACGCCTGCTGTCTCCCACTGAGGCAGGGTGACCTTAGAAAGAAGCCACTTTCACCATCATTCACACATAATCACAGTCTTTGCAGAGGCACCCAGGTACGACAGTTCAGATGTCACTCCAAACAGCCAGTATCCCAAACCCTTCCTTTGAAGTGCAGGCATTGTACTTCCCACCTCTAGGAGTCGAGTCCAGCTAACCGGTTTTTCTGAATCCCTTCACAAAATATTACCCTACTCACACTCCAACACCTTGTCAGGTCCCAAAAACCATTCGTCTCCATTCACTCCTATTTAACGTGCTCACACATTCCTGCTGCATGTCCAACCTCTTTTATCCCCCTCCCATCTATTTCTAGAACAATCCCTACCCCCTCCTTCCCTCCACAACAGATTTATACACCCTCCAAGTCAGTCTGTTTTACTCCATCCTCTCCAAATGGCCAAACCACCACTTTTATATTTCATGTATGATAGGTAGTAGGTTGGTAGACAGCAACCACCCAGGGAAGTACTACCGTCCTGCCAGATGACTGTGAAACAGAAACCTGTAACTGTTTTGCATGATGGTAGGATTGCTGGTGTCTTTTTCTGTCTCATAAACACGCTAGATAACAGGGATATCTTGCTACTCCAACTTACACTTTGGTCACACTTCACAGACATGCACATGCATATATATATACATACATCTAGGTTTTTCTCCTTTTTCTACATAGCTCTTGTTCTTCTTTATTTCTTCTATTGTCCATGGGGAAGTGGAAAAGGAATCCTTTCCTCCGTAAGCCATGCGTGTCGTATGAAGCGACTAAATGCCGGGAGCAATGGGCTAGTAACCCCCTTTTCCTGTAGACATTTACTAAAAAAGAGAAGAAGAAAAAAATTATAAAACTGGGATGCTTGAATGTGCGTGGATTTTAGTGCAGATGACAAGAAACAGATGATTGCTGATGTTATGAATGAAAAGAAAGTTGGATGTCCTGGCCCTAAGCGAAACAAAGCTGAAGGGGGTAGGGGAGTTTTTTGGTGGGGGGAAATAAAAAGGGATTAAATCTGGGTATCTGAGAGAGTTAGAGCAAAGGAAGGGGTAGCAGTAATATTGAATGATCAGTTATGGAAGGAGAAAAGAGAAGATGAATGTGTAAATGCAAGAATTATGTGGATTAAAGTAAGGTTGGAAAGCGAGAAGTGGTCATAATAAGCGTGTATGCACCTGGGGAAGAGAGGAAGCAGAGGAGAGGAGGAGAGTTTTGGGGAGATGTTAAGTGAATGATAGGACCCTTTGAACAAGTGAGAGAGTAATTGTGGTGGGGGCCCTGAATGCAAAAAGTAGGAGAAATTTTAGAAGGGGTGTGGTAGGTAAGTTTGGGATGCCAGGGTAAATGATAATGGGAGCCTTTGATTGAATTTGTTATAAAGGGGTTTAGTTATAGGTAATACATATTTTAAGAAAAAGAGGAAAAATAAGTATACAAGATATGTGTAGGGCGAAATACTTAGTTTGTTGGATTATGTATTGGTAGATAAAAGAGATGAGTAGACTTCGGATGACATGTTTATAGAGGGGCCAAGATAATCGATCACTTCCTAGTTGTAGCAAACCCTGAGAGAAAAAGGTAGATGGGTAAAAGGAGAAAGAAGCTCGGGGAAGAGAGAGGTGAAGGGTTTATAAACAAAAGAGGAGGCAGTTGGGAAAGAATAAACAGCTATTGGAGGATGATGGGCTAATGAGAGTAGGCAAGGGGGTCAAAAGAGGATGGGGTAGGTTTAAAAATGTAGTGTTAGGTGTTCAGCAAAATTTTTGTGGTTACGGGAAAGGGGGTGCGGGGGAAGAGGAGGATTGGTGGAATGATGATGTAAAGAGAGTAGAAAGGGAGAAAAAGTTAGCATATGAGAATTTTTTTTACAAAGTAGAAGTGATGCAAGGGGGGAAGGTATATGGGGGAGAAAGAGAGAGGTTAAGGAGTGGTGAAGCAATTTTAAAAAAGAGAGCAAATGTGGAGTGGGTGAGATTTTATCAAAAAAATTTTGTTGAAAATAAAAAAAAAGTTTTGGAGTGGATTAAAAGTTAAGGAAGGCCCAGAGACAAATGGGTTTGTCAGTTAAAAATAGGAGAGGAGAGTTTTTAAAAGGAGAGTTAGAGGTATTGGGGGAAAATGGAGGGAATATTTTTAGGAATTGTTAAATGTTTATGAAGATGGGAAGCGTGATTTCGTGTATAGGGCAAGGAGGAATAACATTTGTAGGAGGAGGAAAAAGGGCCCGTTGTGGTGTGGGGGAAATTCGTGAGGCAGTAGGTAAATGAAAGGGGGGGTTTAAAGGGAGCCGGGTTGATGGGTTAAAAATAGAAATGTTAAAAACAGGGGGGGATTTTTAGTTTTGGAGGGGGGTTTGGGGCAATTTTTAATAAATTATGGAAGGGGTAAAGGGATCTAGGGATTGGCAGAGAGCAGCATGTTCCTTTGTATAAAGGCAAAGGGGACAAAGAGAGTGCAAAAATTATAGGGGGATTAGTCTGTTGAGTATACCTGGTAAAGTGTATGGTAGAGTTATTATTGAAAGAATTAAAAGTAAGACGAGAATAGGATAGCAGATGAACAAGGAGGCTTTAGGAAAGGTAGGGGGTGTGTGGACCAGGTGTTTACAGTGAAACATATAAGTGAACAGTATTTAGATAAGGCTAAAGAGGTCTTTGTGGCATTTATGGATTTGGAAAAGGCATATGACAGGGTGGATAGGGGGGCAATGTGGCAGATGTTGCATGTGTATGGTGTAGGAGGTAGGTTACTGAAAGCAGTGAAGAGTTTTTACGAGGATAGTGAGGCTCAAGTTAGAGTACATAGGAAAGAGGGAAATTATTTCCCAGTAAAAGTAGGCCTTAGACAAGGATGTGTGATGTCACCGTGGTTGTTTAATATATTTATAGATGGGGTTGTAAGAGAAGTAAATGCGAGGGTCTTGACAAGAGGTGTGGAGTTAAAAGATAAAGAATCACACATAAAGTGGGAGTTGTCACAGTTGCTCTTTGCTGATGACACTGTGCTCTTGGGAGATTCTGAAGAGAAGTTGCAGAGATTGGTGGATGAATTTGGTAGGGTGTGCAAAAGAAGAAAATTAAAAGTGAATACGGGAAAGAGTAAGGTTATGAGGATAAAAAGATTAGGTGATGAAAGATTGGATATCAGATTGGAGGGAGAGAGTATGGAGGAAGTGAATGTATTCAGATATTTGGGAGTGGACGTGTCAGCGGATGGGTCTGTGAAGGAAAAGGTGAATATAGAATTGATGAGGGGAAAAGGGTGAGTGGTGCACTTAGGAGTCTGTGGAGACAAAGAACTTTGTCCTTGGAGGCAAAGAGGGGAATGTATGAGAGTATAGTTTTACCAACACTCTTATATGGGTGTGAAGCATGGGTGATGAATGTTGCAGCGAGGAGAAGGCTGGAGGCAGTGGAGATGTCATGTCTGAGGGCAATGTGTGGTGTGAATATAATGCAGAGAATTCGTAGTTTGGTAGTTAGGAGGAGGTGCGGGATATACCAAAACTGTTGTCCAGAGGGCTGAGGAAGGGTTGTTGAGGTGGTTCGGACATGTAGAGAGAATGGAGCGAAACAGAATGACTTCAAGAGTGTATCAGTCTGTAGTGGAAGGAAGGCGGGGTAGGGGTCGGCCTAGGAAAGGTTGGAGGGAGGGGGTAAAGGAGGTTTTGTGTGCGAGGGGCTTGGACTTCCAGCAGGGTGCGTGAGCGTGTTTGATAGGAGTGAATGGAGACGAATGGTTTTTAATACTTGACGTGCTGTTGGAGTGTGAGCAAAGTAACATTTATGAAGGGGTTCAGGGAAACCGGCAGGCCGGACTTGAGTCCTGGAGATGGGAAGTACAGTGCCTGCACTCTGAAGGAGGGGTGTTAATGTTGCAGTTTAAAAACTGTAGTGTAAAGCACCCTTCTGGCAAGACAGTGATGGAGTGAATGATGGTGAAAGTTTTTCTTTTTCGGGCCACCCTGCCTTGGTGGGAATCGGCCAGTGTGATAATAAAATAATAAAATATTTACCTCTTGGCCTTCAGGATTATACTTTGTAGAGAATATAGGTATAAAAAGGATATAAGGGACTGGACATATCTAACCAAGACA